AGAACAAAACAAGATTTAGTTGATTAACTACTGACGCACTAACCTTGTGCCAAACCCCAATAAAAGCGATGGTTGAGGGTACAGAGTTTGCTACATGCCTGAGTGAGCTGTAGCCCTCTGCCTGGCATCAATCGCCTGTGTGCTCGTCTTACCTCTGTGTCTTCGGTTCATTAAACATCCCTCAACAGAGCTGGATTGATATCTTGAGTTCTGAGGCCAGCCTCAATACAAGACTCAAAACTGGCTCCTTCCCCTCAATGCTCCAAAAGGCCAGTGCTCAAGAGTGTCAGCTTTATTTAATATGCTATTGTAACACCAGGATAACTAGCTAGGTCATATTAGTGAACAATAAATATCTTTCAAAATAATGCATGAAAGAGCATTTGGAAATCATGCAAAGTAATTCACTTGATGAACAAATAAAAGATAAAAACCACACACATGTGTCAGTAGATAATGTACTAGTAAGCACATTCAGTAATAAAAGGGCCTAACAGTTTTTATAAACCTTTAATAAACACTCTATGAATATTATTAATTTTACTGCCACAGAATCCTACAGTGTGGGTAGTATTGTTACCTTATTTTGGAGATGAAGAAACAGAATAATGAAGAAATATGTATCTTGCTAAGCAACACAGCTGATAAGTGGAAGAGTCTGGGATTCAAGAACATGTACTCCAGCTTCAACATCTATGCATCTGAACACTACTTGTACTGCCTCTCTGAAAAACTATCAGCAGCTAATCCTTTAAAAAAAACCTTCAAGCAGTAAGATAAGATTATCAGAATATTAATACCAGAAATCATGATTTAACATCCTTTCAGGTTACAAAATACTGACTCTATTTATGTTAAAAATTTTCCATATGTTGAATCATACATGTATTCCTAGAATGAATCCCAGTTGATTGTGATGTCTTGTTTTTTCTTAATGTATTGTATTCGATTTGCTAGTGTTATGTTTATCATTTCTGCATCTTTATTTATCAGAGATATTGGTCTGTAAGTTTTCTTTTTTGTGTGTTTTTCTTGCTATGTTTTGGTGTCAGGGTTATGTTGGCCTTATAAAATGTGTTAGGAAGTATTTCCTCTTCTTCAAGTTTTTGGAAGAGCTTGAGAAGAATCGGTATTAATCCTGTACTTTCACTTTTTGGGAGGTTTTAATGGTTGTTTCAATTTCCTCACTGCTGATTTTTCAATTCTTTATGATTCAGTTTAGGAAGGTTATATATTTATAGGAGCTTGTCCATTTCTAGGCTATTGAATTTAGTGACATATAATCTTTCATAGCATTTTTGTATAATCCTTTGTATTTCTGTGGTGTCTGTGGTAACTTCTCTTGCACTTCATTCTCTTTTTGCCTTAATGAGTCTAGCCAAGGGTTTGTCATTTCTTCAAAGAACCAGCTCTTTGTTTTATTAATGTCTTGTAGTCTTTTTGTTCTGTATTTCATTTATTTCTTCTTTATTTTTATTATTTCTTTTCTTCCTCAGACTTTGGGCTGCTTTTATTTCTTTTTTTCTAGTACTTTAAGATGTAATGTTAGGTTGTTTACTTGGGATTTTTCTTCTTTCCTGAGATAGGCCTGTGATAATACAAACTTCCCACTCGTTATTGCTTTTACGGAATCCCAAAAGTTTTGATATGTTGTATTCTAATTCTCATTTGTCTCTACATATTTTTGATATCACCTTTTATTACTTCTCTGACCCAGTCATTTTTTAGTAACACGTTGTTTAATCTCCACATAATTGTGGGGTTTTTATTTCCTTTTTGTAGTTGAGTTTTAATTTCAAAACATTGTGCTCAGAGAATATGCTTGCTATGATTTCAATCTTAAGTTTGTTGAGACTGGTTTTGTGGTTTTTCATATGCAAATTGATCAATGTAATACCCACATTAACAAAATAAAGGATAAAAGCCATATGACCATATCAATAGATGCAGAAAAAGCATTTGATAATATACAATATCCATTTATGATTAAAACACTCAAATGGATATACCATAAAGATATATGCACCCTTATGTTCACTGCAGCATTATTCATGGTGACCAGGGCATAGAAACAACTGATGTGTCCTTTGATAGTCCGGTAAAGAAGATGTGGTATATGTACATAGCGGGATACTACTCAACCATAAGAAAAGATGAACTGCTGCCATTTGTGACAACATAAATGGATCTTGGGGATGTCATGCTAAGCAAAATATGTCCATCAGAAAATGTCAAGAAACATGTAATTTCACTCATGTGGGATATAAAACTGTAAGGAACAAATGAGCAAACAAGAAAACCAAACAAAATCTCGTAGACACAAACAACAGTGTGGTGATTAGCAGAGGGAAGGGGTGTGGGGGTAGTAAAGGGTAAAGGGCACTAAATATATGGTGAAAGAAGATTATTTGACTTTTGGTATTTGACACACAATACAATATGCAGGTCATGTATCATAGACATTTATACTTGAATCCTTATAATATAATAATAATATGTTATATTATTATTATAATATTATAATATATATTATTATATTATAATAATATAATCTTATTAACCAATGTCACCCAATAAGTTAATTTTTAAAAAACTTAAACATCTATATATATAAAAGGCTAATATGCAAAGTGTCCACTCAGGAGTTCGACCAGGAGACCGGGAGTTCAATTGCTCACTATGATGTGTGCTGACCACCAGGGGACTGTGTGGAAGGAAGGAAGGCCCCAGCCAGCAGCTGGAAGGCCCCAATCAGCCCTGATCACCGACCAGGCCTAGGGACCCTACCTGTGCACCGGGCCTCTAATATGATTATAAACGAAAAGTTCTGGGTAAAATAAATTAAAGAACTAATTGTAAATTCTGCAGTTGAAATGTACAATGAGTATAATGAAAAAAATTACTGGAAGAGTTCAAAGGAAAATTTGATTGGTCTGAAGAAAGTCTCAGCAAACTTAAGCTAATGGGAATACTAGGAGAGTGGAGAGGAAATGGGCAGTAAAAATATTTGAAGAAAGATGGCTGAAAATTTTGAAAACTATTCAATGAAATTTATTAATCTACATACACATCTAAGCTGAATAAAATTTAAGCACAATGAGCACTAAGAAATCCACAACCAGACCCATTATAGTAAAAATGTTAAAAGACAAAGAAAAAAAACAGCTGATTATGAAAGAGGAAACTGGAGTCAGATGAGCAGGTAACTGATCATCAGAGATTATGGAGGCCACAAGGCATCAGATGAAATAGACAAAATGTGTAAGAAAAATCTGCCAACTAGGAATCTTGTATCAGGCAGACTATCTTCCAAAAATGAAGATGAGATAGATTCCCAAATAAATAAAAAATAAGAGAATCCATTGCTTGAAGACCCACTTTACAAGAAATGTTAAGGAAATGTCATTTTACACAGAAATTTGAATCTACACAAAAGAAAAAATAAACAAAACAACAAAATTTACTCAAAATAATTCTAGAATTACAAAAGACTATATAAATGCATATCTGACTCTTAATTGTTTTAAAAGGCAATTTTATAAAACAAGAGGTATAAAACAAAACTATCATTTGGATTCATAGACATACAGTATATTTCACAAAAGCAGCATAAAGAAAATGGTTAGAACAAGAATAATTTTTTAAAAAAATATATTTTTATTGATTTTTTACAGAGAGGAAGGGAGAGGGATAGAGAGTTAGAAACATCGATGAGAGGGAAGCATCGACCAGCTGCCTCCTGCACACCCCCTACTGGGGATGTGCCCACAACCAAGGTACATGCCCTTGACCAGAATCAAACCTGGGACCCTTCAGTCCACAGGCCGACGCTCCACCCACTGAGCCAAACTGGTTAGGGCACAGGAATAAATTTGAGTAAGAAAATGACACTAGATCCACAGGAAGCAAGTAAAAGAACAAAAGATTGTAAATAAGATTATATAACTAACACTATAAATATATTCTTCCTCTAATTTTGTCTCAGCTTCCTTAAAATTTATAAAGTTTCATAAAGAAAAAATATAACAGCTTTGTTTTTAATATTCATATATGTAGCATAAATACAATAGAAGAAAAATGGGGAAAAGGGAATAAAACTATATAGGAATCACAAAATAAAAATAAATTATGGGAAAATAAAAATAAAAGCATAACAAAGGTTTATTTATTACTAAAAGATTTTGAAACAATGTGAAGCTGTAAAATATGATTTGATATCTTATATATAAAAATATATGAATTTTATTTAATAATGTATGCATTATACAATGCAATTATTATATATGTATACATAAAAACTTAAATGTTTGTATTACCAATGTTACTTTTATTTTCTTTATTTTGCCTATAATTACTGTGTCATTTTAAGATGAATTTATATTTTTTAATAAGCAAATCTAAATTTTTTTAATTGAAAAAGAGAAAAAATGAAGTATGTTTTTATAGTATTATATAGAGAAATAAAGTTATGATAACAAGGGAGGAATGTGTGCAGGACTAAGGACATTCTTTCAAAGTATTGGTGGAAGTATAAATTGGTATATCCAGGCCACTTGATGTTACAGTTAAATTTTTTTAAAAGACCTCTACTTTTCAATTACACATTTATGTATTTATGTAAATACAAAAATTCACCACAGATGGGTTTTAATGGAGAAAATTTATAAACTACTTTAAAGTCCAAGGTATGGAAATACATTTAAGCAAATATGGATGCACCTATACAATGATAGTGAGTAGAGAGAGAATATTGATAAACCAATGGTGTTTTAGGAGTGTTTACAATATATTGAAAATAAAAATTGACAGAATACATTAAATGTGATACTATATTTATTTTAAATTTGGGGGAGAAATAGGCAAAGCCTAATCTCTTCAAAGTGGTTATTGTGTATATTTAATACGTATATCCTCTTTTTCAAATAATGCACTTATAAAATGAAATAATAAAGGTAAAATCCACAAGTTTAACTGATTTCTCATAACTTAAAAAGTATTAACTTAAGAAGATAACCAGGGAAATATACTCTCTTACACTGTTCATGGGGATAACCTTTGCTGAAAAGGCATTCAGCAACAAACTGGCAAGGTATAGTTGGTAACTACATGTACTACATGTTAGCAAACATTCAGCTACAAATATGTTCCCAGAAGAGTTAATCTTACTAAGAAAAAAAAAGAATAATTTAAACATACATCAATGAATTGAGATTTAGAAATTATCAGTCATCCATAATATGGAACATAAAATAAAAACAAATTAGAAGAGAATATTTAATAATTTGGAAAGATAAGACCAATTATGGTACTCACTGAGATGCAATATGGCTCCAGCAGCAGAGACGTCTGGGAAATGTTGGACCCTTAACTCTCTGTAGCCTCAGGCTTGGTTGACTGCCCAGAACAGTGGAATGCTGCACAAAGATAAACATCATGCACCCAGAAAGGATGTTAATAACTGTATAGAGTGTGATAATTGATGTTGTCTGTTAAGTTAGGAACATGTTGCTCTTTCTGGTGGTCTAAGTGACTATGCACCCCTATACAAAAGAGACCTTATCTTAGGAGGGGTGTGGATTCTTCCCAGCTGGCCACTACTGGCAGTAGCTGCTTTGCCCATATATATAAGTTTCTCCAATTAAAGCTTTTATGCATTTGAATAAGGCTACATGTCAGTTCTTCAGAATTGATTCTGAATTTAGACTTGTGGAGCTTTCCCCCAATATAAATTATAGTGAAAATATCCAACAATAAAACCATACATATTATATTTTGAAGGTATTATTTATTTATTTAAATAATTCATGTTTTAAATTTTTTTGTCAAGTGGTAGAATTTGGAGTGATTTTGACTTTTTTCCTTATCAATTAAAAAAATTTATTTTGTTACTTTATTATTCATATAAAAATAAATTTGAGAATAAATAAAAATTAATAGGTACAGTTCACCTTATAAAATATTGGGATAGTGCAAAACAAAATTGCAATGGTGAGTCCAGAAAATTGTCTGGGTATTTAGGACCTGTCACAATATTTGAGAACCTAATAAAGGTAAATTAATACTATGTTTGTGAACAGTCACTTAATAATACACAAAAAAACTCACCAGAATTTAATCCTGACATATCCTTTGAGTCTTCAATTCCTCTTTTCGCAATGTTTGCTCAGGAAATAATCTTGAATGTAAGCAAGGCATGTGCACTATGATATTATTAGCAGTTTGGGTTAGGGTAAGGGAAAAAAACACACAAATAAAACCACCTAAATGTTCCACAATGAGGAAGCAGTGAAAAAAAACCCTCATATCTATAAGTATAGAAATACATACATACATACATCTATTCCTCTATCTAACTCATTCAATGGAATACTAAACAACCATGGAAACTATTTTAGAAGAATATTTAATGACATGAAAAGAAGTTCAAGAATATCTAACTTTACATCTACATCTATCTATATTATGTATTTATGTATGAAAAAATAGATATAGAAACAGCAAATGCATTGAAATTCATGAAAATTAAAAATATTGTGCAGATACAGATGAAAATGACTCAGGAAGACATGAATGTTCATGAGGATTCAATATTGCTGACATTAGTTCGCTTTTGGTACCTGGTCCGCTTTCTGACTTTTTTTCTGCAAAACAACCAAGGACAGCAAAATGTCATTTTTAGCTCATCAAGCTGGCCAACACACACACACACACACACACACACACACACACACACACACGGGCACGTACGTGCGCGCACGCGCACACACACATATCAATTACAGTGACCAGGAAATGGGCATACTCTGTTTTACTAGCTGCACTGACTGGCATAAATGCAAATCGGTACAATATTTATGAAGGGGCCATTTGGCAACACACCGGAAAAGTCTTTAAAATGTCCATGTGTGGATCCTTCGAGTCCACAATTAAGATGACCGTAGGGTATGCCAGCGGAGATTTGGCTTGACAAGGAAGGAGTCACTCATCAGAGACTCAGTGTTGGGGTTAAACACAAGGAAAGAACTAGGCACCACCTGAATGTCCAACAATGAGGGAACGGTTACAGAAATGTTAAGGTGCGTGGATACACTCTGCAGGCACTGAAGATGAGTTTCAGAAGCCTGTTGTATAACATGGAAAGACGTTCAGTGTGTTGATTTCTGTTTGGTTTTAGTTTTTGAAAAAAAAGCAGGTTAAGAAACACCACATACATGAACCGTTGTATAACAGTATGTGAAAAGGGAAGGTGAGGTGGGGGTGAGAACGGGAGGGAGAGAGAGAGAAAGAGAGAGAACCTGGAAAGGCAGCACACCAAAAAGGTAAAAGTGGTTGTCTCTGGGTAGCAGGATCATGGGGAGCCATTACTCTCTTGGTTTTCCCTCATCTGATTTCCTTCTCCTTTCTGAGGTTTCTACCATGAAATTGTATCACCTGTACAGTAAACAAAGAGAGAAAGTGCTTTTAAAACCAAACCACAAAGAGAAGAGGCAGCCTCTAATTTATCAAGTGGCACAGATAGCAAGATTAGTCACAGTGCCCTTGGTGGGGGAGGGGGGAGAGGAAAGAATGAAGAAGAGAGAGGGTGAAAGGGGAGGGAGGAGAGAGAGAGGGGGGAGAGAGAGAGGAGAGGGAGAGAGAGAGGAGAGTGGGAGGAAGAGGAGAGAGGGAGGGAGAGAGAGGAAAGAGGAAGATAGAGGAGAGAGGGAAGGAGAGAGAGAGGGAGAGGAGAGAAGGAGGGAGAGAGAAGAGAAAGAAAGGGAGAGAGAGAGGAGAGGGAGAGAGAGAGAAGAGAGGGGAGAGAGGTGAGAGGGAGAAAGAGAAAGGAGAGAAGCAGAGGTGGAGAGAGAGAGGAGAGAGGGAGAGAGAGGAGAGAGGGAGAGAGAGAAGCAGAGGGGAGAGGGAGAGGGAAAGAGAGAAGAGAGGGCGGAGAGAAAGGTGAGAGGGAGAGAGAGAGGGGAGAGGGAGAGGGGAGAGGGAGAGAGGGAGCGGGAGCGGGAGAGGGGGAAGAGAAGAAGAGAGGGAGAGAGAGAGGACAGAGGGAGAGAGAGGAGAGAAGGAGAGAGAGGGGAGAGGGAGAGAGAGGAGAGGGGGGGAGAGAGAGGGGAGGGGGAGAGAGGGAGCGCGAGAGAGGAGAGAGGGAGGGAGAGAGGATAGGGAGGGAGAGAGGGAGGGAGAGGGAGAGAGATGGGGAGAGGGAGAGACAGGAGAGAGGAAGAGGGAGAGACAGGAGAGAGAGGGAGAGAGAGAGGACAGGGAGGGAGAGAGAGGGAGAAAGAGAGGAGAGGGAGGGAGAGAGGACATGGGGGGAGAAGAGCGAGGGAGAGGGAAAGAGAGGGGAGATGGGGGAGAGGAAGAGAGAGACAGGAGAGAGGGAGAGGGAGAGGGAAAGAGAGAGGAGATGGGGGAGAAGAGAGAGAGAGAGGAGAGGAAGAGAGAGACAGGAGAGAGGGAGAGGGAGAGACAGGACAGAAGGAGAGAGAGACTAGAGAGGGAGAGAGAGAGAAGCACGGATCTGCACTCTCAATACAATACATGGCTGGTGGGTTAGGGGGGCAGAGAGGGGGCTGTAAACCGGGTGGGAGGCAAAGTTTGGCTCTGCTGGATGACTGGCTCCTGGGATGTCTTCATCGGAAGGTGGCCTCCTCGTCGGTTGTCTTCCTCGAAATCCTTGACGTGAGCACTGGTGGACTGCCTGGCCCAAGCTCCTCTTTCAGCTTCTCGTTCCTTATGGGACTTGAATCTCCAACGAAAATTTTGCGGTAGTTCAGGAACATGCCGTTCATCGTATCAATGGCCAGCTCGGCGGATTCCTGCTTCTGGAAGTGCACGAAACCGTAGCCCTTGGGCCCCTTTTCGTCGCAGGCCACTTTGCAAGAGAGGATGTTGCCAAAGGCCGAAAAGATGTTGTACAGCGCCTTGTTGTCGATGGCCTTGCCCAGGTTCTTGATGAAGACGTTGCCCACCCCGCTCTTGCGCAGCGAAGGGTCCCGCTGGGTCCACATGATGCGCACTGGCCTGCCCTTGATGACATCAAAGTTCAGGGTCTCCAGGGCCCGCTTGGCGTCCACCGGTTGCTGGTAGTTGACATATGCGTAGCCCAACGAGCGGCGGGTGATCTTGTCTCTGCAAATGCGGATTGAGAGGATAGGCCCTGCCGGGCTGAACTTCTCGTACAGCATTGCCTCTGTCACCTCAGGGTGCAGGTCTCCCACGTACAGTGAGGCCATAGGAAAGTCCGGGTTCTCCTCGGAACTCCCGCCCCTCTCTGCGTTTGCGGTGGCAGCCGCCGCCGCCGCCGCCGCCGCCGCGCCGCCGCCGCCGCCTCTGCATGCTCATCCGCATCCTCCTCCTCCTCCAAGGGGGGCGCCACAGGCCTCTGCTGCTGCAGCGGCTTGGGCCGCGCTGGCTTCTGCCACCACCACGGCTGCTGCCTCCAGAGCGGCCTCCACCTCCTCCCCGGCCAGGGCGGCTGCCGCCTCCCCCAGGATGGCCTCCGCTACTGCCTCCTCCACTGAGGCGTCGGCCTCCACCTCTGCGTCCGCCTCCGCCACGGAGGCCTCCGCCACCGCCTCTGCCACGGTCGCCGCCGCAGCCTCCGCCGCCGCTGCCGCCGCTGCCGCCGCCGCCGCCGCCACTGCCGCAGCTGTCGCCACGGTCGCCGGTGCTGCCGGGCCGCTCCCGCGACCCTCCCTTCCCGCAAGCTGGGGCTCGGCGAGGCGGGAGAGGGCAGGAGGGCAGGAGGGCAGATGGGCGCAGGAACCCGGGCCGGGGGCGCGAGCGAGAGCTGGGGCGAGGGACGCGGGGGGCCAGCAGGTCTGGCGATACCAAGGCGCCTGGGATGGCGAGCCCTGCCAGGAGCGCGCCTCTGCGAGTCACCGCAGTTTGCAGCTTCCTGCTGCCGCCACCGCTCAGTTGTGGATTAGCATGCGGGGCGCGCGCGGGCGGGCGGGCGGGTAGCGTGTGGTGAGGGGCAGGAGGTGTTGGCGCCTGTGTTCCGGGCAGCTGGGAAGGCTTCTGTCTCTTTGGTTCCCCCTGTGGCTGCTGCGGGGGTGCGGGGGCTGCGGGGGCTGCCAGGCTGGCGGGGGGTGGGAGGGGGCGGGGCCGGGAAGCTTGGGTGGGGGTGACATGAGTGTGAGTCTTCAGCCTCTCAGGTCGCCTAGATATTTATAAAGAGGAAGCGGGGAAAGGGCTCCGCTGTGAACTGAGAGAATACTGGTTAGATTTAGGGAGTTTTGTTTTATCCCTCCTCTCCCCATAGAGCATTTAAGTGATTGAATCAAGTGCGTTGTAAGAGGGGATGGGTGGCATTGTGAATACAATTGCCTGGCCTAAACAAAGCCAAGCAAAATGTTTTCCTCACATTCAGGTGTTCTTCCCACCTCAACTCGTGCGCGCGCACGCACGCGTGTACACACACACACACACACACACACACACACACACACACTCCAACATCGCTGCCTTCAGGGAAACAACTCTTTTTTTTTTTTTTTTTTTTTTTTTTTGAGCGGGAGCTGGGCGAGTGTGGCAACTCCTCCTGCAGCCTGAGAGATCTTTCTCAAAGATCTCTCCCCTTTTACCACCTCTTTCCCTCCTCTGCAACACTTGCAAAAGAGGGAATAGAGAACACAAGAACACGTATTCACTTATTCATAATGCCATGCCACAAGTATTTATGGAGCAGGTTTCGTGCTGGCCCTTGGGGATATGGGGGTATGGGAGACATGAAGACATGGGCTGGTTTTGAGGTTGTCCTTGGGAGCACATAGGTTGGGCTGGAAACCCTGCCCCGGCTCCAGACTATGGGAGACCTAGGGACCTGGGGTTCTTCAACCCTCCAACTCCTCCCACTCACCCAGCTTCAATAAATGCAACTTGGAAGTGGAGGAGTCAAGAGCACCCTGTCCATAGTGCTGTCTTCAATGACACCCTGAGAAGAGCCAAGCCAAGGGCTGGGGACATGGCCTGGTCCAGAGCCAGGCGCTTGTTTGTTCTTGGCTCTGCCCTCAAGCGGCTGAGGTTCCCAACATGAAGCAAGGCACGCAATTCCATGTTCAAAACAGAACCAAAACCTGAACTCTCTAGAATGAGGTGCCTGATCCCAGTTCACCAGCTAGTATTTATGGAAGCCTTATCAAGTACTTGGCACTGGGGACTAAGGGACAAGCAATGTCATAAGTGAGCAGTGAGTGTTGCTGTGTTGTAGCTGTGGGGTGGGGTAAGAAAAGGTGAGCAGTGTGTGTTGTGGGAGCAAAGAGACCACACAGGGCTAAATGGTGAGGGGATGGACAAGCGAGCAACCATTAGAGTGGAGTGTAACAGAGACTAGAGTCTCACTTCCTCTGGAAAGGAGGACCCAGCTACTAACTGTTCCTGGTAGGAATCAAGTGAGGCTGCATAGAAGATGAAACCCCGAAGGTGAGCTCTGAAAGATGAGTAGCAGTCCACCATGTTGAAGCCAGAGGGTAGGCATTCCAGACAGAGGGATCAGTCTGTGTCCAAGGCCCTGTGGCATGCCAGCACATGCATGGTCACTTCCAGTCATGCTTAAAATCTGGAGTGGACAGAGCCCATGGTCTCCCAGAGTCAATGGCAGGAGATGGGGCTGGAAGGCATGTGGCCCTGAAAAGCAAGGTGCGGTGCTTGGACTCCATACCCAAGCCAGCGGGCACCACTCAGCACGTTCAAGGAGGGAATCGGTATGATCACATCTTTAGAAAGGGTACAAATTGAACATCAATGTAGGAAGTAGCTAAGAGAGTAGATCTTAAAAGTTCTCATCACAGGGGGGAAATGTGTAACTGTGAGGTGACAGATGATAACTAAACTGATTCTGGTAGCCATTTCACTGTATATACTTGTATCAAATTATTATGTTGTACACCTTTAAATTATACAATGTTATATGTCTCGATAAAACGGGGGCGGGGGGACCATCAATACACGTATAAATGCACATGTGCCCCTCCCCACACAACTGACAGAGAGCTGATAGAACAAAGAGAAGACAGTTGGATGTGACCAGTTCCTGTGAAGAGTCAGAACAACCCTTGCCTTTGTTCCTCCTTTCCGTCCATAAATAGGGGTTTCAGGCTTACCTTGAGCCAGGCATTGAACTGTGGGACAGGGGTCAAATATAAAAAAAAAAAATTCAAACCACAGTGCCCTCCCTCAGGACTCCCCACACCACTAAAGCTCAGCCTGTCCATACAAATAACAGAAATGTCAGCAAAAGGGCTGTAGGTGCCATGTGAATGGACCATAGTGGCTAAGGAACTTCATCTGCCCAGCACATATTCTCTCTTCCTCCTCACTCCCACCCATGCACCTTCTTTGGGAGAAAAAAAAAAAAGCTTTTTTTCTGTGATGGCAGCGTTGGCTGGACCTGGGCAGTTGCACATGATAGAACAACCCAAACCTGTGAGACTGACTGAGTGAGTCACTGTGAGGTGTGAGGCAGTGAGAACTTTCCCATCACTGGCTGGAAAGTATCCGAAGATGGCTGAGAAGCCAACACACAGACAGATACCTCACCAGCTTGCAAAGTCCAACCCTCTGCCCCTAGACAGGGCCAGTGCCAGCAAAGGGAAAGGACAGAGAGTTAGGAAAAGCCCGCTGTACAGCTGGTGCCTGACCAAAGTGATCACTGTCACTGCTGTTAGGAGCTATCTCAACGGGAGGGTGGGTCTAGGTTACCTGTAGTCAGGAGGCAGATGAGCTGTGCCTCACCATTACAGAAGATGAACCTCCGAAGGTGAGCTCTGAAAGATGAGTAGCAGCCCATCACGTTGAGCCTGCCCTGCAGGGAGGACTGCAGTTCCCTTGGCTTTGTGGCAGGTGGACATCCAAGGAGGGACCTGAAGTGGCATAGGCTGAGAGGTAAGCCATGATTGCTGGGGGTTAAGGGGATGTGGGGATGATGACAAGAACTTCTCAGCCCATTGTTAGGGGGAAGAAATGACAAGGGGAACCAATTCAAGGACCAGGATGCTTTCCCTGCCTTTGAGTTACAACCCACAGAGCCAACAGAGATCAGTGAAACAGCAGGAGGAAGAAGTTCAGGGAAGTCATGCTGTGGCCAGAAAATCCCCAAACCTGTCAATCCTGAAGACAATCCCTAGGCCCCTGAACTTCCAGCAACAGGAATAGGGCTATAAAGTGACCAGGAGAGCAACTAAGGGATTGCTCTCCAAGTCCTTTCTCACAGAGGCCTTCATGGCGCTCTCTCCTCCTTTTTTGTTTTTGTTTGTTTTTTGTTAATTCCTGGTCAATTTCTGCTATCTGCAATCAAAAGTGTTCTGACTGGCAGGCACTGTGACAGAGGCAAAAATGAAAAGCCCTGTGGAGCTTCAGTGGAGGGAGGGAGAGGTCCATTTCTTATGGAAGTGTTATTCATTTCATTCACTCAATGATTCCACAAGTATTTATGGAGGGCGTACAGTGTATCAGGCATTCTTCTAGTCAGAGGGTCTCTGCACTCAGGAAGCTTATTGTCTGGTGGGGAAGACAGACAATAAACACATCAGTAAATATAGAAGTACTTAAACGTTCCTACAAATGCTCTCAGAGAAATAAACAAGATTATTTGGCTTATGTTACCTAGAACCCAAGAGAAGTATCAAACTTCAGGGATGCCGTTGGCCTTTTTGAGGACAATGACAAGTGGCCAGTTCTGCTAGGAACCAGGGAAAAGCCTGTCCTGCAGGGAGGACTGCAATCCCCTTGGCTTTGTGGCAGAAAAGAGGGGCACCAGAGAGGCAGAAAGGATGCCACTGTGGCTGGAGCCCAGTGCAAGAGGGGATGGAGGGAACAGAGGAAGGCATAGGTGGTGGGAAGGAGCCATGATGAAGAGGTTTTGGGGTTGTTTTTTTAAACCCAAAGTGCTGTGGGGAGCCAGAGAGAGGACGGGATCAACGGAGTGCCATGATCTAATTATATTCCATAATTTTTCTCTGCCTGCTCCCTGTGGGTCATATTACAAGTGGGCAGGACACAAAGGAAAGTATGGAGACCAGTTTGGACCCTCTTTCAGTAATCCAGTTGAGAAATGGCAGTGGCTTGGCTCGGACTGGCAGCACAAATTTGGGTTTTAGTGCATGGGTTCACATGTTATTTTGGAAAGAGAAGAGACTTGCTGATGGATTAAAGGCAGTCAGTGAACAAAATTAATAAATGAATGATTACTATGAGTATTTTCTTGCAAGTCTTGATCATGGAGGTGTTATGTCTGGTCACAGACCATATGGGGATTGGGTGTGGCAGATGTGGAGAAGGGAGAAAGAAAGTTGTGGGGGGTGAGTGTCAGGGGCTCCTATTTGCACATGTTAAGAGTCTGAAGTCGATGTGTATCAGTGTAGGCTGAAGAAACAGAATTATTGAGACAACAGTAAACAGGTAGTATTTAAAGCCATGAGCCTAGGCAGGATCACCTAGAGAGAGTATAGTCAGAAGAAGGTGAAGGGCTGTTCCCTGAGAAAAGACAACATTTAGAAGTTGGGTTGAAAATGACGAGCCATCAGAAGAGATTAAGAAGGACTGGGCAGTGAACGGACCAACCCCAAACCTGACTTCTCTCCAAGGCCTTGCATGGTCTAGCCTCAGTGTCCTCACTCAGTCCTGCTTCCGGTGCTCCTGGCTGCACGTGCATGGAAGTGGTTTAAAACAGGACAACAAAGACCCTGTGTGCTAGCGGTTGGGCTTCTGTTTCTGTTCATTTCTCAGTGGAGCTTTGGAAAGAGATAGGTTCAGATATGGACACATTTGAAGAGTGTTTGGAACTGGCAC